ACTGAAAGTTAACCACAAAAAGGGTTTATTTTTAATATCATGTACATCTTTACTTCTGACTTGATTCAGACTTAGATGTAGAAGCTCTCAATGAAGAAAGCCGGCGTCTCTTTGCAATCTGCTCCTGGCGTTTCTCCTTGGCTTCCTAAAAGCATGAAGAGAGTACAGAGATGTTACACTTAATCAAGCACCTTAAACTATCTACAAACAAACAAACTAGAGAAAATACAGCTTGGAGGAATGGATTCCCTAAGTCAATAAAGCAAAATGGTCTCCCTTCTTCACAGATCAGAAGAATTCTACAAGTATCCAAACCAGTACAGACCCAGGTCTTTAAACAGTATGCATCCAAAATAACAGTTCACAACAAACGAGAGGTGCATCTATTGTCATTTCCATCTTGAAGTCATGAAACTCAATAACTATTGTGCCAAATATTCCAACAGTACTGCTTCAGCAGTACTGCAGTTTTAGGAGCAAGAGAAAAAACTCATCCAAACAAGTACCTCTTTGCCAAGTTATCTTCCATTGGGATCAACTGCTGAATCCTGTTTCTCCACACAATCACTCAAATGCTTGAGCATCTGAGTTAAACATGGATTCACTGAACTAAAATTGCTACTGAAGAAGTTATTTTCACAGGCTGTAACTATTTGTTGTTTTCTTCAAAATAAGCTCTCAATTAAACTAATGGGCCTAGTTAAGTTCTTATTGCACTAGGACTGGCAGAAATAGACAGAAATATCCAAACCCCCCAACTGACCAGCTATGTTTATACTCATGTTTAGGCACTCATATTCAAAATGAACTACGTTCAGAGCACCTATAAGCATGCAGTCAAGTTTACAAAATCCTTTGATTCTGGGTATGAGCTATGTATATAGCTGAATTAAAATGGCAAACGCACCTTCATTCTCTTGGCCAAGAGCTTTGCGTATTCTGCTGCCTCCTCCTTGTTCTTCTGAGTGCGTTGCTTCTTCAGAGCAATGCGTCTGCGCTTATGCTGCAGCACCCGAGGAGTCACCAGCCGCTGGATCTTAGGGGCCTTGGTTCTGGGTTTCTTTCCTAAAAAAGTATTACAAAGAAGTGGCAGACTATCTTCCAAAGAGGCCACAGGCCTTATCTAGAAATCTTTAGAGTAACTTCCATTTACTATTATGGTAACATTACTTAGTGTACTACATAATATAGCAACTTATATGGAGTTCAACATCTTGACAAATTTTACAGGAAAAATGATCAATTAGTTTAAGATGCAGCATTAACAATACACAGTCCTAATGCTTATGATTTGTTATCAGCAATCAAGTGTTAATTCCTACTTTCTCAGCAGGTCTGTCTGTAGTAACTCCTCCTAGACTTAAAAGTTTTAAGAGTAAGGGTACTCATTATGTATCTTTCAGAACAGTTTTCAGTGTTAAAAAGCGATCTACAATTTTACACAGGTTTGACATGGTTTATCCCCCAAAAACCAGATCTACATAGTCCACAATGGGCAAAAAACCCACACCACCACAGAAATCTATAAAATTTCACTACTCAATGCTGACTGACTTCAGCAGTCACAAGCAAGAGTCGGATGTCTACCAGGATCACATTCTTAAATGGACAAAATAGTTCCTATGATGCAGTCTTTTCCCCAACAAACTTTCACAGTGCCCCAAGCTTTATGTGTCCTTTCTGCTAAAAATCTGCACCTTTTTCCTTTTCCCTGATCAAAGGTAAGAGAACCCAAACTCAGTCTCTTACACTACAAGAGACAAACAGTAAGCCAAGCAGTGCCCTTCCAATAAAAGCTTCTTTCAGAGACTGCCATAAACAATGGGGAAAAATCTTACCATCTACTCTATACACTGCTTTTCCCCCCCCCCAATATAAAAATGTTCCACTTTGTATTTAATCTTGTTCCAATAACAACTACTGTTGGGTTATTCTTAGAATATTAATCTAGATTCTATCAAACATTTAAGAACAAACTGTGAAAAACTAAAAAACTTAAACAGAAGGGGAAGAGAGGGGTGAAAGAAATGAGGCAACCAAGAAACTCTTCCACAAATTGCAGTGGACAAAGCTTAAATATAGTGAGTGTAAACTGGACCTGCTATTAACTGTGCTTCATTCACTGCAGCAGGCTGGACACCCTCTTGCCAGTAATTACGAGAAACCAAAGAACTGAAGAACAGCAGTTCTTACCCTCTTTGTTCAGAGGCTTCCTCACAACATACTGGCGAACATCATCCTCCTTAGACAGGTTGAACAGCTTGCGGATCCTGCTCGCCCTCTTGGGACCAAGACGACGGGGCACAGTTGTGTCCGTCAGCCCAGGAATGTCCTTTTCACCTTGGAGAAGGCAAATTTAAACATGCCAATTACCACTACATCTACTGAGCACCAGCTTCAGTAGCAAAATCCTAAGTTTAAAATACATAAAAATTCAAGATAATACTATACAATCCTTAGGGTTCACCTGCCAATAGCACAGCCCCAGCTACCCTCGGCTGGTTTAACATGATCAGATTGCTGGCAGCAATAAAAAGTCCTTTAGTGACCAGTTTTAGCATTATAAGAATGCAATGCCCAGAGGCAATCTCAAGACACACAGTCACACTCTAAAGCTGGGACTGCATTTGCGTTCCACACAACCTACCAGCCACTAGCAAGCAGGCTACTGCCTACTTCTACTTGTTTCATGCAGCCTCTTACCTTTTTTCACTATGACCAAGTTCAAGACACTTAAGTTGGCATCAACGATGCAGCCACGAACGGATTTGCGCTTTCTCTCTCCGGTCCTTCTGGGGCGGTAGCAGGAATGGCCCTTGCTGAGCAAAAGGCGGACACGTCCATGAGTCAGGACACCCTGCTTCATGGGGAAGCCTTGCTTGTCATTGCCACCACTGATCCGGACAACATATCCCTACAACAAACAGAAACACACTTCTTAGTTGCCCTTGTCTCTATTGCCTCAAAAAGCAGTAGGTATCACAACGCAATGGATGCTCTAAACAACGAAGTACCGTGTCCCTGATTCAGCAGAAGTCACTGTTACTGCCACTGCAAACAACTGCTTTAACCAACACCTCTGCAATGCTCCAGGAATTTTACTTGAAAGATGTAAAAAATACTTCTGCATACCAGAATTTACATTTAGTGATTCCTATTCATTTGCAGTTTTGTTAAAGTTACACCACACAAAATCTTGTCCATAATTATCTAGCTTTTCTTTAAGCTAAACCTATCTAAAGCCTGTTATCATCACAAACTGGAAAACTGCATAGAACACAAGACTGTCTGGAGTAGGGAGATAGAGGTAAAAAGTAAAGCTTTTACAGCCTGCCTTGCAAAGGTGGCAGCAGAAAAGATCAACTTCCTTAAATGCAGCTGCACTGTCTGTATTACCACTGAACTATTCCAAGCCCATCCACCAGGCGGAGCATGCTTTTTTCCATATGTTAGCAACAGTTTAAACACAACAAAGTCAGTTTCCAGCTTGTTCAGTAAAGAAAGGATCAGCAGTTTTACACCGCAGATTTAATTTGTCCTGAATACCACAACAGCATTCATATGAAGAGCAGAAAGTACTGCAAAGGGCAACAAGAAACTCCAAAACTCAAGGCTCTAAAGAAGAAAAATGAAAAAATTTTATTCTGATAAATCAAAGTACCAGAGCAGGCTAGCCTAATCACTAATTCTGTACATACATAGCAAGAGAAACTTTCAAGATAACTGCCAAATGTACAACATACAACCGCTGTATCGTGACAACTGCGTACTGGAAAAATTTTGTAATGTAAGCTCCTCAAATACAACTCTGACACAGCCTTTTGTGTTACTTACCTTCCACTCCTCACCAAGGGAATCAGCCAGGACCTCCGTGGCCATCCGTTTCTCATAGAATGTTCTCAGCTTGCGCTCATCATCCACTTCAATGAGTTTCTGGCAGCCAGTGGCTGGGAAAGAGATGTTGAGCTACCAGAGAAAACGGTAAGAAAAAAAGACAGATACGGCTGAAAATTCTGAGGCATCTTAACAAAAGATCAGTATTTATTTACCTGCTGGTTTGATCTTGACATTTGAAAGCTGTAATTCCCCACCTGCTTCCACGCTCACCAGCCACAGCCCATCACCACGGCACTCGGGGTGCCGAGCCAGGGAGGACAGTGTTCGGCCACTCTGGGCTGCACAACTCGTTCAGTCGCACAGAAAACTGACTATGGCAGCCGGAGCTCAATCACGGAACTGCGAGCAGAACAAGGTGAGGGCAGCAGAAACCTGTGCCCTCCTCTTCCTGGAAACCCCCTCGTAAGCACAGGCCATGTTAGCCACTAAAAACACTTCACGAGAGCGGCCCCTGCCGTGGGTGATTCTTGGGTGGTGGTGACCCCAGCTCCCCTGGGGCTGCTGCAGAGCGCAGCGCTCGGGGGGCGCATCCCGGCACTGCTCCTGAGCGTGGCCAGAGAACAGCGCATACAGCCCCTCCCCGCCAGGCCCCACTACCGGCTGCACAGGCCTCTCGCTCGCAATGCCCTTCCGAGCGAGGAGCGGCCGCTCCGGAGCCCGGCGCTCCGCTGGCCGGTGTCGGGAGAGGCCCGGCCGACGGAGCGGGGCCCGCGCGGCCGCCATGTCGCCCGCTGGCAATCCATTCCCATCCGTCGCGCCGCGGGGCTCTAGCCCCGCCGCCGGGGACCATCGGTCGGCGGCGGCGGCCCCGTAGGCTGCGGCAGGGCCATTTGCGGCACGGGGGCCCGGGCCCCCCACGGCGTCGGCCCGGCCCGGCGCCGCCTCACCTTCATCCTGCTCAGGCCTCGGCGCCGCGGGAAAGGACCGCACTTCCGCCCGCACTGCCCACATACACCCGCAACTCTCGCGAGAGCGTCACCGCCCGCTCCCCACGTGACCGAAGCTGCCCTATGGCGAGCGAGGCTGCGCCGCGCGAGGGGCGCGGTCGGGGGCGTCTCCTGGGGGCGTGTCCCGGCCCCGAGAGCGTCCTGCGCTCTCACCATCCTGCCCGGCCGGGCGGGGGGGGGCGCGGCGGGAAGCTGGCACCTGCCCGGGGGGGCAACATCTGGGGGGAAGACTGTTTCTTCTGATACAGCTCGTGCAGCGACGAAGTGCTCCTTAAGGACAGCCAGTGGAGCCGCACGGAGGGACTGGGGGGGGTAGGCGCGCCCACCCCGGGGCTAGGGGCACCGGCACCGGGAATAGGAAGCGACATCCATACGTGGCATACCGGCTTTCCGGACAAGGCGCGTTTATTGCGCGACCTGACCAGCTTACCCTGGGATGGGCTATCCCAGTCCCCCGCCGGGGCCGCTTGTCCGGCACTTTGTGCGCGCAGGCGCACTGGCGGCCGCTCCTCATCGCGCGGCTGGAGCTGAGTACTGTGCTGTGTCCAGTTCTGGGCTCCTCGGCACAAGGAACAGAAGGGGCTACTGGCAAGGATCCAGCAGAGGGCTACAAAGATGATCAGGGGTCTGGAGCATCTCTCTTATGAGGAGAGACTACAGAAGCTGAGCCTGTTTAGTTAGACTAGAGAAGACTGAGAGGGAATTTCATCAATACATATAAATATCTCAAAGGTGGGTGCCAAGGGAATGGTGCCAGACTCGTTTCAATGGTGCCTAGTGACAGACATGGAGAAATAGCCATAAACTAAAACATAAGTTCCACTGTAACGTGAGGAACAATTCATAGAGGGTGGCAGAGCACTGGAACAGGCTGCCCGGGGAGATCGAAGATCCTTCCTCTCTGGAGACACTCAAAATTCACCTGTGTAACCTGCTCTAGGTGACCCTGCCTTGGCAGGGGGGTTGGACTGGATGATCTTCAGAAGTCCCTTCCAACCCTAACAATTGTGTGATTTTGTGGTATTTCTAAGGAGTGCAAGGGACGCGGGCGGGCTGGCCACGCGGGTGAAGGGGCTGGCTCCTCAAGGGCGCCGGGGAGCGGGAAAACAGCGCTTCAGCCCGCCCGGCTGGCCGGGGTCCCGCGAGGCAGACTCAGCTCGCCCCCTGGAACGAGCCTGCCGGACCTGGGCCTGCCGGCCTCTGCCCAGAGGGGCCGCCCCGCGCCCGCCCCTTGCGCGGGCGGTGTGGGGAGGGCGGTGCGGTGGCCGCCCCGCGGCGGCGCTGGGCCGGAGGGCGGGAGTGGCCGGGCGGGCGCCATGGGGGCTCTGCTGTGGTGGGACCAGCTGCAGGCCGGCAGCTCGGAGGTGGACTGGTGTGAGGACAACTACACCATCGTGCCCGCCATCGCCGAGTTCTACAACACGGTGCGTGGCGGCGGCCGCTGCCCGGTGGTGCGGGAGCGACAACCCCTCGGAGCCGGGGCGCGGCGGGTGGGCGAGTGTGAGGCGGCGGCAGAGTCCGCTGCTGCCCTAGGGGCTCCTGCTGCCTGCCACCTCCGTCTCCTGCAGGGTTTTCGTGGAATTGTAGCTTGTCCTTCTATGGCTGCCTCCTCCTTTTGCTTCTCCGCTTTCTGACATGCCTAAAATTAAAGAAAAAGAAGAGATTTGGTGTTGCAGGTATAAAATGGGAAGGTTTACTAGTCATACTAGCCATACTACTACTAGTAACTAATGTGCAGCAGGCCCTCTCCTCGTCTGTGCAGAGCCTTGTCGTGGCCAAGCCCAGAATTTTTGGTACTGGATTGCCCGCCTCTGGTACCCGTCTGCTAGACAGGTGACAGCCTCTTGATAGCTGCAACACTGTGATGGGTCAAGATAAAAACACCTTGGTCTTTGGAGGCAAAACTGGATTCCACCGAGGTATGTGAGTTTTAAGGAACAGTTTGCCTTAAGGTTGCAGGATGAAGTCAAGAGCGTACTTTTGGGAGAAGAGATGACTGTTTAAGGAAGTAGGTGAAGAAAGGAAGGAGAGGGAAGAGGAATAATGTAATTTTTGCTTCATTCTAATAAGCTGTGGTTTACCCCTGAATCCTGTTGCACCTTCTCAATACGTTTCAGCTGCTGGAAATAGCTTAAAAAAGCCCAGTACCAGAGCTGGGCTGCCCTGTACCACACGTCTTGGAAAGGGAGCAATACTCCTGACAACCTGTTGATGTAAAGAATTGGAGTGACAAATAGGTACACGACAGTAAGGTAACCCATTGGGCTTTCAAGTACTTTGTCTTTCCATGAAAAACAGGTGTCCAGGAGCAAACCTGCGAATGTCCAGCGTCTTTTCTGTTCTATAGATGCTTTGTCTCTTCTACTTTAAAACGTGCAGGTTTTTCTCTCATATTCCATCCTTTTGTGATCTTTCTCTTTCAAGCCAATGTCTAATGAAGAAAGAATTAGGTGTCTGTCTTCACTTACTGGAGTCTGTATAATAGGCGGTGCTGCACATACAGAGCACATAATTCCATGGTGATGGTGTACATTGTTTTTTTCTTTTACTTTGCTGCCAAGGACCTGTGTGTGGTGGCTGTGGGAGAATTCTGAGGGTGTGTGAGGGAAACTGTCAGCTTTTTTTGTGTGTCTGATGTCACTGTGCAAGAACTGAAAACAAAGGGAGGAAAATGTCAGGATAAAAAAGGTTATTTGAAGACAGCAAATGTGTTTGGGAGCCAGCTATGCAGGGGGATGGGTATCCATCTGACTGTATGTGCTTGTTCAGTCTAAAGTACAGTTAATTTTCTTCAAAGTCGCTTCTGTGAGGTGATGTTTTGTGCTGGAAACAGTGTTAATAATTCAGGGATGTTTTCGTTTAGCGCTCAGCAGCCCTCTGCGGGTCAAGGCCTTTTCTGCTGCTCACCGCACCCCACTAGTGGGTGGCCTGGGGGTGTACAAGGAATTGGGAGGGGACACAGCTGCAACAGCTGATTCCAGCTGACCCAGGGGATATCCCAGAGCATATGGCATTGTGGTCAGCATATAGAACTGGGGGAAAAAGAAGGGAACGGTTTGGAGTGATGGTGGTTGTCTTCCCAAGTCACTGTTACGCGTGATGGGGTCCTGCTTTCCTAGCAATGGCTGAACTCCTGCCTACCCATGGGAAGTGCTGAATGAATTCCCTGTCTTCCTTAGCTTATGTGTGCAGCTTTTGCTGTCTTTTTGTCAAACCGCAGTTTCTCAACCCACCCAATTTTCTCACATTTACCCTTCCAGTTCTCTCCCCCATCCTGCTGCGAAGAACGTGAGCGAGTGCCTGGGCAGTGATTAAACCACTAAAAAGTTACTGGCAGGGATTAAACCACAACACTGTACTGAGCTGATTAGCCGTGGTATAGAAGCTTGCTAAATGCTAGAAGCTGCAGTTGTGTCCAGATGAATAACTGAGGTTCCAGACAGACACAGAAAAAGGTTTGCCCTGAAGACGGTGGGAAAAAAGAGGCCATGTTGAGGGTAGTCATGTTTAGCCTCTCTTCAGTACTACAGAGTCATTGTAAGGGTTTGATTTTTGTATTAGCAACTTCTGAAAATTAAAGCAGTGACTTGAAGTGGATTGATGCAGTTGTGCAACTGTGTCTGCATAAAAACTGATGCTCACAAGGCAGTTGGGAAATTTTGGCCCTACTCTAACAGGGATCTTAGGTGACAACAAAATTTTATTCCTTTTAGGATGGTTCAGTTCTGACTGACTCAATCAAACCTCTTGAAGTGTCAGGAACCATTCTTCAGCAAACCTGAATCTGATATCTGGGTCGTTAAGCTTTAGATTAAAACCTTCCTAATCCACATTTTAAGCTGTCACAGTTGAGGTCAGAGTTGTGGTTAAGGTCTCACGCAATATTCATGTAAGCACTAAACTAGAGCAGCTTATCTGTAGTGTATTTGTAAAACATTTATTCTGGTGGAACTCAAACCAAAGCACTCAACACACTTAAATCAGTAGCAGAGTATCTGTTTAAAGGTTCTGAACAAATTGATCAGACTAATTTTTTAAAACATACACATAGACTGATGTGATTTTGTCTAGCTAAAGTGATTGAGGACATACTTTTTCAGTAAAGAGGCCACAAAACACTCTGGCTCAAATTGAAAGTATAGTTATAGGAAAACTATTTTTTTTCCCCCTTTTCTTTCTGAAATTAATAAAGTAATGTGTCCTGATGCAGTATAACCCTACTCCAGAACATAAACAAATGCTTCCTCATGGTCAAAATAGTTTAGTCTCTGAAGAGATATCTACAAAAAAAGCTGTTGTGTTTTAAACACCTGAAACCAGTATTTTTCTCCTGTTGTTAGCAAAGTCAATACTTACCAGTTCAGTTTGTTGCATTCAGTTGTGCTTGTACGTTCTTGCCAGATTTCCATTTAAGAAGGGAATTGCCAGGGGTTTATTTCTCCTTTTGTATTCCATAGTTGCATGGAGATAAAAGTGTTAAAAAGCTGTGAAGTAGTCTTAGGAGTGTGAGAAAATGCTTGTACCTTCTCTACTTCGTGTTTTTTATCACTGAAGATTTTTATAGTGTTTGTGAGTGGCATGCTCATGTACTGGGATGTAGAAGATAGAAACTCTCTCATCTCACTGAGAGCTACTTCAGTTCACTTTTGCATTCTGCTCACAAAGAGGTAGAGCAGTAAGTTTTCCTCTGGTGGTTGAATGCTGCAGCTGCTGTCTGGGAGATGTAGCTGACAGTGAAGAATACAGGAGCTTTGATAGGACTGCAGGAAACATACTGTATCAGGAGTGGCTACATGTGATTGAAGTTCTGTGGTCATGATCTGAGCAAGCCTCTGGCATTCTCCCTGTCCAATAGGCCTATGTCCTGTATTCTTATCATATTCTTAATTAGTTGGAAATTAAACCTAAAGGTGCAGAATTATATGAAGCCAAAGGATGGACTTTTATTGATGGGCTGCTTGCCTTTTTTCTAGAACTGTAACTTTTAATAATTGCCTTTTGCAGATCCTGAAGAAAATTTTCTCTATTACTCATGTCAATTTTTGCACTTAACACTATGAGCATTTCAATTGTACTCTATAAAATCATGCAGGCCAATTTATTATGTAAAAAATTGCACATACACTTTCTGAAACCATACTTTCTGAAATCATACTACAGTATTGAAACTTACAGTACTAAAATTATTTCAACTTCTGAGATTTTACAAAATCTTCCTACTGGCCACTGCAAAGATTACAAGTCATGATCAGGCTCCAGTTTGCAAGGGTTTTCCTGCAGTTGCAGGCAGGACCTTAGCAGGAATGGTAGTTCAGTGCCAGAGGAGCACTACCATAGAACTGAACTGCTCCCTTGTTGGTTCATCTTTAGTGTAAATCTGCATTGGTACAACTGTGGTAAGCAGATCTAGTGTTTCCTTTGTTGTCTTGTTCCTAGGCAGAATAAGGACTTTCTGGCCAAGCTTTTATAGACTCTGATTGCCTGTTCTGATTTTCCTCATTGGTCAGATTCAGCTGTAGAGATGTAAAAGTTGTCTTCCAATCCACTTTGTTTATAACCATCTATTTTTGCCTATTGACAGCTGTCTTTGGCCTAACTGTGTCTAAAAGCCAAAAATGCATAGAGCACTCCCAGGCCCCTAGAGGACTTGTTCATATTCCATCATCCCTGCTGTCACCATGTATGATTCCTGCCTGCCTTGGGGTGAGGGGAGTCTTGCTGCTCTGTACTTGTCTCAGTACTGGGATCCTGATTCATGACTGTGTTCCCAGCATTGCTGCATGGAGTTGTGTGTTTTCTTTTGTGAATGGAAGATGCTCAAGTGAGCCTCTTTCTTTGAACATATAGGTTGCTTTACATGGGTTAAGCAAATTGTTCCGCCTCTTAAAAGCTGTTCTCAGATTATGTTGAATGGTAGACAACAGTAGCTGAATGAACAAATTTGTATGTCATTGTTGAATTATTTCTCCACTAGATTTTCATTAATGTCAGTAAAAGTTTGTAAGTCTCTGTGAAGAGGTGATCTTTCCCAAAGGAGTGCTCTTGCCTCAGAGTTGTTTTCTATATCAACTTTATGGAAATGTTGCAGGGGGTGATTTTTTTCTTGTGCTGAGGCTAAGTAGGCAAACATGAGAAAGCTGAGGCTGGATAACTCGTTCTGTCCCCTGCCCCATTGTGAAGCAGCAGTAGAATCTTTTCATAGCTACTCAGTTATAGTGCCATGCCTGGCCCTCAGCAATGGCAGCTCCTTCTGGGGAGAACCAAGTGATCACTACCAGTATGACAGCTTCTCCTAATTGCCAGTAAAGTATTTTCAGTCTTTAACTAGAGAATCATGCTTTAGGCTGTTGGTAGGCAAGACAAAACATAAAACGTGTTCAAATCTTACATATTAAATTACAAAAACCTCTAGCAATGGTCTGAATTATCAGCTTTTTCACCTTCCTATAGCTAGTTTCAATTCATATTCAGTTGTTTCTGTAATGGAGAACCAAGAGAAAAAAATGAAATGTAAAAGAACTTAAAGCTCCAGGCTCTCTTTGCCCTGCACAAAAAGGGTTCTAACTGTTAGCTTAGTGTCGTATTTTAGACCTTCCTCATAATAGCTATTGCTCAGTAAATTGACTTCCAGCTTGACTAATTCTGTCTAGTGCCAGTTCTTCTAATGCTTTTTCCATGCTAGGCTTGGCAGCCTTTGAGAGAACAAGTTGCTGGTCTGTACATCCTGTTCCTCAGCTGCTTGCTCTTGTATGCCATCCGAATTGCAGCAGTCTTGAATATTTGTAGATTCTTAATAAAATTCCTCTGGGAATCAGCTTGAAATGTAGTTTAAAGATGAGTAGCCACATTTTATGTTGATTAAAGTTTTTATGCTGTTATTTGTTAGTGATGTTAAACAGAACAAATTGATGCTTTTGCAAAAACAGCTAAGCACTGGAAAAAACAGAGGGCCGTAATTTACTGAGCTAGGGCTTCACTGGATGCCAAAATGTTGTTATTATAGATGTCTTAGAAACCCTATGGATATTTAAGGTTTGTTTACTTTCTGTCTTTGTGAGACTGTGTTATTTTTTTTTCCTAGATAAGCAACGTCTTGTTTTTCATTTTACCACCCATATGTATGTGCTTGTTCCGTCAATATGCAGTCTGCTTCAACAGTGGAATGTATTTAATATGGACTCTGCTAGTCGTGGTTGGTAAGTTGATTAGTCTGTTTGCCAACTCATGTGTGAATTGAGAGAGGAAATCAGTTCTTATTGCTTGCATTTGATTGTTTTGCAAAATAAAGCAATCTTGACATGTACAGAAGAGTTTGCCTGTACCTGCATAAAGCTGAAACAGCCATAGTTTCTGAAAGGAAAATGCCTTTTGCAATTTGAGGTTGGTGGGAACTTTGGCCATAGTTCTGTTCCCTTCCTATCTTTTCACATACTTTTCTTTTTTCATGTTTGGGCTTACTCTGCAGCAGTGCTGACCCTCCTTCCTATGTTGTCATTTAAATGAGAGCTGAAAGAGCCAGTGCAACTGAAGAGGGTTTTGCATTGTATTGAGAAGGGCCAAAAGCTGAGCTGTTTTGTAGATGTGAGATTCTGAAGTGTGTTCATTCCTGGGGGCACTTTAAAGGAATAACCAGAGCACTCTGGGGCACTGTGACACTTTCCACCTGTAAACCTACATGATTGAGTAGTCATCAGATGCTGCTTTTTATCTTTGTCTTACCTGTTCTTCTGCTATTGAGAAAATAGCTGAGAAGCAGCATTTGGCTTGTGTTCCTTAATTGATTTTGCATTATACTTTTCCACATGATGTCTCTTCATATACATCTGCGTTTTTAGTAGGAGCTGACATCTTCAGCTGCTCCTTTTGTGAAGTGTTTGCTTTATAATTAATGAGAGGCCAATGACCTGGATTGCATCTTAGGAAAGTTGGCGTTTGTTTTCTGGTTTTATTTTTTAATAATCTTTTCTTGACCAAATGGTTTCCACTATTTTCTATGAAGTTCTGAGCATGAGCAGTGTGTTTTGGTCTATTATGGTACCACAACTATTTATATTGTCTTTTGATTAATTCTTCCAGGAATTGGATCTGTTTATTTTCATGCCACACTCAGCTTCCTGGGCCAGATGCTGGATGAGCTGGCTATTCTCTGGGTCCTGATGTGTGCTTTTGCCATGTGGTTCCCCAGGAGATACCTGCCCAGGGTTTTTCGAAATGACAGGTAATCGTAAAATCATGCATGTATGCTTTCAAGTTTCTTGAAACGTGTTGTGCTAACACCTAAACTTGCACATAATGGCACTGAGTTATCATCCAACCTTACCACTGCTGCTGCTGTCTTTTCTTACTCCGTTCTCTTATGGTTGCTTATATTTCAGCCCTTTTTTTTTTTAATTCCTGAGTCTACAGTTGCTGATGGCAGGGTTTGCACCCTCTAACTTCAGGTGTTGGGATGAGGTGACTTGCCTCTGGAAGAGTCTATTCTTGTTTATTCCAGGGAGACCTTGACAATGAGTAGTTTATATAAGTTACAGCTAATGTAAGAGAAGCCAGCTTTCACTCTTCCTTTTGTATATCCTGAAGTGTAAATACAAGTGGACTTACGGAAGTCAGCTGAATGTTCATCTGAATATTTAAGGCAGTGATTGTTCTCTCTGAAGATTGCTAAGACTGGTTTGTTTTTTTGCTTTTTTACTTGATATGTGCCTTATTAGAAGCTGCTAATGAAGGGTGGGTGAAGAGAAGTTTGTTGCCTAGATTGACCATTCCTCAAAATAGCTTGCACTGGGCAGAGTGTACTTTTAATTACTCCGTATAGCGTATGTGTATGGCCCAGTTCTCTTCAACAACTTCATTAACAACTTGGACATAGGACTTGAAGGAAAACTAAGTAAATTTGCTGTTGACACAAAACTGGGAGGAGCTGTTGACTCCCTCGAAGGCAGGGAGGCCCTGCAGAGAGACCTCAACAAATCAGAGGAGTGGGCAATCACCAATTAGATTAAATTCAACAAGAGAAAGTGCCGTATTCTGCACCTGGGGCAACCCTGGATGGTTGTACAGACTGGGGAATGAGATGCCAAAAGCAGTGCCATGGAAAGGGACCTGAGGGTCATGTTTGATGGCAAGTTGGATATGAGTCATTAGTGCCCTGGCAGCCAGGAGGGCCAACTGTGTCCTGGCGGGCATCGCCAGCCGGTTGAGGGAGGTGAATATTGTGTGCAGTTTTGGGCACTGCAATATAAGGAAGATATTAAGCTCTTAGCATCCAAAGGAGGGCAACGAAGACGGTGAAGGCCCTTGAGAGGAAGCTGCATGAGGAGTGGCTGAGGTCATTTGGTCTGTTCAGCCTGGAGGAGTCTGAGGGGAGACCTCTTCGCAATCTTCAAAATCCTCATGAGGGGAAGCAGGGAGACAGGTGCCAATCTCTTCACTCTAGAGATCGGTGACAAGACTTGAGGAAACAGTGTGAAGCTGAGTCAGAGTGAGGTTTAGGTTAGATATCAGGAAAAAGTTTTTCACCCGAAGACTGGCTGGGCACTGGAGCAGACTCCCCAGGGAAGTGGTCACAGCACTAAGCCTGTCTTGAGTTCAAGAAGCATGTGGACAGTGCTCTCAGGTACCTATTATGATTCTTGCGGTGTCATGTGCAGGGCCAGGAGTTGGACTCGATCCTGATGGGTCCTTTTCAACTCAGCCTGTTCTATAATTTTATATGGTTTAATGGCTTTGTCATTTAGTATATCTGCATATTGCAGCACTGCTGTTATAGAACACCATCAACTTAACAAGCAAACAGGCTTTACTGGTGTCTTTTGGTTTATGGTGTGACTGTTAGATGTTTAGTTCAAGTGAAGAAGGATTCAGAGTCTTGAATTTATGTGTAATTTATGTAAACTCTGTAAATTATCTCTCAGAAGCCTAAAGGGGCTGTTTTATTTCATCTGTCACTATCTTCTGGTTGTACTGAGTGTAAAACCACAGTCTTGGCCCACAAGCTCATTGTAGGGGTTTTACGTTAAAAAAACCCCACCTCACAGATTTATTAAAAGGAGCCTTCAGTTCTTTTATAACAGGAGAAACACTACGATGCTTCTCAGAGGGTCAAAATAATACACTTTTACTGGCAACTTTTGGAAAATAAAGGAACTTGACAAAAATTTCAAAGAAGCGTTCAATCAACATAGAGCATTTCACAAAGCATTGGCTTAGCAAATTCCAACCCATCCAGGTTTCAGTTACCCAAATCTCAAGGAAAGGAAATTAGGAGAAGAAGAAGAAAAAAGAAAGAAGGGGAGGAAAAGAGAGTTATTGCTACCACCCTAGATCCAACTACCAGGAGTCCAGGAAGCAGCAGGGCCACAAGTATGTGCTGGCTACATGATGCTGCTTTTATTGTTTTGGACTTCTGTGACCATCCACCCCAGGTGGGGCTTCCATTGTGCCAGCCATTCTGGGGCTGGATTAGGGGCTCCAGGGGGTGTGGTGTGGGCTGGACTAAAGGCTCCAGGGATGGGCAGAAGTATGGAGCGCTGCTCCTGGTGTGCCAGTGGCTGGCAGCTGCACCAGTGGCTCTCAAGGAGGTGGGGTTATGGAGGGAGCAGAGCACAATCCCACCATGGCAGAACCTGATCTGCCCCCTTCCCCTCCCCACAGAGTTGTTTCCAGCCAGTAATAACTTTTTTGTAACTTTTTTCAGTCCCTCACACTGGGTATGGATGTAGAATGGACCAAGATGTTAAACTATATCATTTTTTAAAGGAATAACAGCACTTTTGGGGTGGAATACTGTTGAATTTCATGTTAAAACTATAAATACTAGATCTCCCAGGTTGTAACTGATCCATAAAAATACTGAGATGAGGTGAAGGATGTCCCCTATCCTTTAACATTTCAGGACATGTCTCTTCCAGAGAATCTGTCAAGACAGTTACTTGTTAAGGTCTTAATTACTTTTTGAAGGATACAAGAGAGAGACATACTGTGCAAGAAGCCCTAACCTAGAACATGTTTGGTTAATATTTCTGGGCGTTTTGTGTTGCCTAGCTATTATTATGTCCATCCTGTGCTCAGTGCTGTGGTCTTTACTTCATCCTCATCACACTTTGGATTTTCAGTGCTGCAAATGTTATTATCTATCATGACCAACTGACGATGTCTTTATTCATTAAGACATTCATGTCAGATCAGAACTTCCTACTTAAGTATCTTGTTGCCTTCCAGGAGAAAGGAAAACATTATAGCAGAAGGCAAATGGAATGAGCTAGGTGAAGGTGTTAACACTTGTGTCCATGGAATGATATTGCAGAAGTATATTGAGACCCTACTTCAGACATAGAAGAGCCATTTTGGGACAGCAACTGTTTTATAAAGCTATGGTTCAATAGTTGGAAGGGCAATGTGATGATCCTCTGTCTGCCATAATCCCTCCACAGACCGGAAATAGGTTGCTTAAAGTCCAGACTTGAAGTTTAAACAACAGTTAACATACATTTAACTTAAAAGTTGTTAGGCTGTCTGCACAGGGCCCAATTCTGATTTCATTTATGCTAAGAATATACCAAATCCTAGTCTTATAAAAGAGCATTTTGGGGATTGCTTACCTGCTGTTGAATTTGATTAGAAGAAATGTTCATATTTACCATGTGTTTTCAGTATCTTTTAAGGCTTAAAAGGGATAAAGGAAAGCAGACTGTAAGATGACTGTAGAATTTGGGGCATTAACAGTAACAAAATATTCTAAAAATCCATGTTAAAAGCTTGAAGAATGATGAAACAGAACTTTTTGAGGAAGTATAGTGCTATGTGCAGAGGTGGATTTGTTCGTAACTTATTGTGGGAAGAGGAAGACTGGACTGTGGTCTTTGTTTTGAAGCCAGTGATGAGTGTGTGTGTGCACATGTGTGTAGAAGAACACTGCCCAGCAAAGGTTTGTGTATATTATTAACTCTGCATTCACATGCAAGTCTGTGTAAGATCCACATCCCACTCTATGCGTGTTGTCATTGCATCTCCTAAGCACAATTAGAGAAATCTAAATTTTGTTACACTATTAAGATAATTTTAAGGTTTCTGGGTTTAGCAATTATAAGCTTTGAATTAAGAGCAGTCTTTCTACCCCATAAAAACCCTATTCAGGAGCCGTTTTAAAGCTGCTGTGGGTGTCCTGTCTGGAGTTACCACCTGCCTTGCCTTCATTAAACCTGCCATCAACAACATCTTGCTGATGACTCTGGGTGTTCCCTGCACAGCTTTGCTTATTGCTGAGTTGAAGAGGTGAGTATATTTCTCCTGAATGCAGCATGATGATACACTAGATCTGGCTTCGGTGCTTGTGATAGCAGATCAGAAATGCTTCTTCCACATGCAAAAGCAGATCTAGTATAAACTTGTTTAGCAGTTCAGATGTTTTTGTCAAAGATTTTTTTTCCCCTAGGCCATTACACTGGGTCAGTCTTCTGTCTTCTTGCAACATACCTCAAGCTGCAAACCGATCTAACGCAAATCTGTTTGTTTATTGTGGAATCAGAGCAAGGGTTTCATTTCATAGACAGCATTTCTTCTGTATAGTGTGCATCAGGGTGAGGTGGTGGCATGATTGCAGTCTGAATACTAGTGGGAATGTGGAGCAAAGCCCAAGTGTGTGTTGATGTTCCAACTCTCGAAGTTGTATTGTGAGTCTTACAGCACTTCATCTTCTGCTATGGAGAATATGATGGAGTCAGACTGACAAAGATAAGGTTAATCACCAAGTTTTGGAGGATAGCTATCAATCAGTACCTTAGAAACCATAAAACCAGAATGCAAATAGAAAAGAACCTGAGACTGATCTTCACATTTTAAAGAGATCTTCCATAACACTGATACCAGGAACTGTCCAGAAACGTTTTTTTTTTCATCTCTTCAGCCACTGCAAAAAGGACTAGAGGAGTGCTGGCATTCAAACTTGTCCTTTTTCACCTCTTCTCCAGTGTCTGAGGAGGATTTTACAACTTATGTTGGCTCTTACATATTGCATATGTCCATCAAAAGAAATGGGTTAAGACCAAATGTCTGCATTCTGACTGCTTCTGTTAGAACAAAGATTTTAGTGTTTGCTACATTACCCTGTTCTGCCACTGCTTCACTCTACAGTAGAAGCCTCTGCTAACAATGTTTCGTAAAGGTGTTCATGAGTCTTTTCTCATCAGACATCCTACTGTGTATTTCTGTGGTCAAAGACACTTGGGAAACATCACCAAAATTAGCTGTAGACAAGAAGGTCAGTGGCTGAAGAATGTTGGTGATGTCTCATTTTAATGACAGCACAAAGGAACTACTGACAGGGCCTAGGGACATCTGGTTATGGCACTGGATGATCTGTGTGAATTTTCTGTCAGTTCCATATGAGATTTGCAGGCATGAGCTCCTGAGAAACTTAAAAAGACAAGTAGCTAGTGTAAATACTGTTGTGGAATTGTTATGCCTACAGGTATTTGTTTTTTAAAACGCCTTCTGAAAGGTCATATATTATTAAAATGTGTCTTTTTTTTTAGAGAATTAAAAAAAGATAGACCTTTTTGAATTGGTGATTTAAAAGGGACCTGAAGTGAAATTGGGGCCCTCTCTAATTGCACATTGGGATGATGTAATACCTATGATATTTTTGGATGAATTCCTAAGTGTAAAAACCAAATAAAAAGGTTTTATTTTAAGCTATGCTGATCCCTTGGAAATTTAAATGTGATACATTGTTTTAAATCCTGAGGTGAGGAGTCATCTCATCTCCCTTTGGAGGAGAAAAATTAATTTAAGCATTACTTAAAATGCTTGCTGTTTTTCCATTCTGTTCTGCCATAGTCAGGAGGGGACCACACAGACAAGTCTTGTCAGGCTGCAGTGAAAATTTATCTTTGAAACAGGTATCTGGGGAAGAAAAGAGAAGTTTTATTCTGTTCCACACTGAAGTTTTTGGTGTTTTAGACCAAAACTCACTCTTGTTATTCCTGTCCTAGTCTTGTGTCAATCTTTTACAGAATTCTGGTGTGTTTTCAAATGACTATTTTCTTCCTCACGTTTATCTTTGATGAGGAGATAATATTATCACAGGAGAGCATTACATTCTTAAATGCAGACCTGGTATGCTAGGATAGGAAGGTCTATGGCTGGGGAGTATTGTGGATAAGGGGTATCAAAAGAACAAAAGGTAGTCAAGTGTCCTTGAAAGACAAAAGAATTGTTAAACTTTATTCTCATTTCTGTCACAACAAATCCCTTACTGTATTTCTTTAAAAAAAAAAAAAAAAAAAGAAGAAAAAGAAAAATCTCTCCTAGGAAATGGTATTAGTGAGAATGAATGTGTATCCTTTCAGTTGCTAGTCCAACCCCTTGAGATACAATGTCATCAAATTAGTAGTGATTTAGTGAGTCATCATCATCAGGCATGTAACTACCTCCATGTGCAGATAGATGCTAGAATATTGTTGCTCAGCTTACTTCTGAGCCTTGAGCAGTGAAGGTTTACCCTAGCTTCAGGTCTGACCATTCATATTTGATTCTTCTACTAGAAATCTGACTCTGACTGGAGCCTTGCTTCATTATCGTGAGTTGCTCACACTTCTCTTATTCCCTTGACTAAAATGTTAAGCTAGTTAGAAGTGTTAAATATTCTTTAGGATAGAAAAGGAGATAACTGTGTTAAATTGAATCAAGCAGTTAATCAACATCCCAGCAAATTGCACTGGTTTGAAGAAAAGCTGGTATGCTTTTTTCAGAGTTCCAAGATGTTGGAAGATAACGCTGCTGTATACCTGCCCAGTCCCTGAAATAGCTAATGACTGGAGCACACCAGTGTCTGCAGGAACTCTGATATTTAAATAACTGCCGTTTGTGTTAAATGGGGAACACTGTGCATTGTGTAGAAAAAATGTGCAAATGGAAGTGCAATGTTTGTGGGATCCAGTTTCTTTCAGGTTAGAGTAAGATAGGAGCATGTCGCAGATCTGTGCACAGCAGTGGGAACATGTCTTTCAGACCTTCTGCTAACAGCCTTTTGTTAACAGGGGCCTTTTTCAGTGATAGTTTGAGTGATCAGTGCCCGCGTCTATTAATAAATAAAGGAAGGCTATATTTCCAGGTGGTATTTGCATTACGTCTCTTCATTGTATTAGAAGTAGTTGCTTTGCAATCCCCTGCCTCCTCAGCAAGCATGTCCCCAGCCCTCTGAAGCACAGTTACTGCAGGAGCTGAAGACTCCATGATGGGTGATCACAGAAAACCCAGGAGTATTAAACAGATCAGACTCTTTTTGCCCTAAGGTAGTCCTTTGCAGAACACTCTGCAGCATCTACTCCTATGTTTATAAAAATATATTGCAGTACCTGGTGATGGTACTAAGCAAACCTCTCATAACAGTCTGTACCATTTCTATGGCTGATCTTGTGTTGGGTAACTAAGCGTTCACTTTTCCTTTGAAGCCTTGAATTCTTTGAACTGTGCAGATTAATTGCCCTCTGCTCTTGGTATTCGAGCTGTGAGTTTGAAGCCAAACCTCTTATTTTAAATGGAATGCAGTGGCATGTGTTTATGTACTTTAGACATGTCCAGGAAAGCCTTCGTATTCTCCATGCACACACCCTTTCCTCTGTCAGAATGCACAAGTACTCATCTCAGTAGTGTAGTTTTGTCTGTCACATGTACAAAATTGATCCATACATGTGTCTGCTTAGGTACATGGTTTAGTGTCGCGCTCTTACGAACAGTTGTACATCTCAGTGAAGACTGTAAATGTGCCTTAGCATTAATGGGAATCTATATAAAGTGTCATCTATGAACAAATCTGAGCACTTGGCTGGTTGTTAACTGACAGCATGTGTAAATAATCACTAGTTGTCCTGAGTACCCCTCCCTAGATATGGGAATGGTTTGATGTTTGCCCACCGTTTGAGCATTGGTGTTACAGACAGTACCCAAAACACAGCTACTGATAAAAAGTTTGTTTGTTTTGTTACCTCACCACTGCCTTGCATCAAAGCCAGATTTACTGTATGTGAAGTTCATCTGTTAAGGACATTTGTGGTGGAGTCATTTTAAAGATTGGTGTTTGGCATTGTTTTATAACAACTTATGTTTTTCTTCTCAGGTGTGAAAACCTCCGTGTATACAAACTGGGTCTCTTTTCAGGTCTTTGGTGGATGCTAGCACTTTTCTGCTGGATCAGTGACAAAGCATTTTGTGAGATCTGGTCCTCGTTTAATTTCCCCTATTTGCATTGCGTATGGTAAGTGTTGTGTATAAAGTCCAAAGTTTGATTCAAATGTGAATCAAACTCACCACATTACTGTTCTGTGCTGCCTGGTGGCTGTTTCTGGTTAGTTCTAGACAGAATTACGGGTAAAATTATAAACCCAGAGGAAGTCTCACACTATTCCATGTGGCAGATTTAGGAGTCTCTTTGGCCTGATCAAATTCTTCAGGCACTAAGTTCATTAATTGTAACTGAATTCCTTGCCATACTGATTAGTAAAAATCCCACAGCGTTGCTCAGCTGAAGCTGTGATTATGAAAACTTAGATTTCCATCAGTAACAGTGATGGTAATCCTCATGGTGAATGAGGATTAATGATTAATTAATGATGGTGAAGTAGAGGAATGGTGAAGGGCTTTGATACCTTTTCTCTTTTACTACCCAGAAAATTGTGGTTGCTTACTCAGGGGGCCATATGTCAGCATTTCTGCACAGGTCTGTCAGGTGCAGAGAAGCCAAAAAGTAGGAACTTGTTTAAACCAGGGATAGGCTACAGCTTTGTAGTTTTCTATATTCTCTATATTCCTTTCCTTCCATGCAAAGGACAGGCAGCAACCCTATGGGGAACTTGGGGGAATATGGTGAAGGACAGACTGATTTTATAGTGATCTAGTTGACTACTTTACTGAAGTCATGTTACTGATTTTTTTTTCTTTCTTCTCCTCTTGTTTTTGTTTGTTTGTTTGTTTTGGTTTGTTTTGGTTTGGGCTGGGTTTTTGTTTGGCTTTTAATGTTTTGTTTGTTTGTTTTTTGGGGGGGGGGGTTGGGGTTTTTTTGGATGTGTGGATGTCTGTTCTCAGGCACATTTTGATCTGCCTTGCGGCATACCTGGGCTGTGTCTGCTTTGCTTACTTTGATGCTGCCTCTGAGATACCTGAACAGGGCCCTATCATAAAGTTCTGGCCCAGTGAAAGATGGGCATTCATTGGAGTTCCCTATGTCACCCTCCTCTGTGCACACAAGAAGTCACCTGTGAAGATTACATGAAGCTGACAATGGAATTGACAATTGGGGACGGATTTTCAATTTACATTCAAGCATAGACAATATTTAAATAATGATAAATGGCCAGTGTTGTGTTTTCTCTTCTTGCTAAGATAGGGAGCACTTCAGATGTCATAGGAAGAGGAGGGAAGTGTGTTCTTTCATCTCTTAAGAGGAGAGAGGAAGCAGGAACATGGAGGCACTTGAACACTAAATGTTCACAAATGGCTTCTCTAGTTGGCTCTGTTTTGGACTGAATGTTTTTGATGTAGCATTTCTCTTGATAAAAGCTCTTTCCAAATACTAGCGTCAAGGAATGATGTTTCTGTGGTAAGTCACCTGTGGTGCTTGAGTCACTTCTTTTGTAACTGCTGGATTAAGGCCTTCTTTGTGAAAGAAGCCAGTCCAAGAAGCTTACGTGTCATCCTGTGTCCTTCATAGGCTCTGATTTTGCTGATAGCCACAAGAGTGTGCTTGAAGCCCTTGCTACTCCCAGCCTGGTGTGGCACACAGGAAGTCTGGCTGAGCATCACAGTGGATCACAGGGTACATGATTGCTTCCCCAAGTACAACAGGAAACTAGTATTTGCAGCTAGGTAACTGTGTAAGTGCAGTTAGGCAGTGTAGATGCAGAAGTAGCTGACACAAGTCCCTAAAACTAAATAGGAGTTCAAGGCTCTACTGTATTTCCACTGACCTGTGAACATTTAGATGCTGCATATTTCCCTTTTACAGAAATGCCACAGAAATCCCTCTACCTCTGCAGACACCTTTGGTCTTGAATTTGGCATTGAAGCACACACAGAAGTGTAGATACTAACTTCAGTAAGATCTTAGGTCAGCATGGATTGACAGTGTGATTAAACTGCAAAAACTTGTAGTTTTGTGCCTGGCTGCACATGTCATTTGAGAGGTTGCTTCTCACCAATGTATTGCAAAGTGATGTAAAAAATAGTCCAGTGCTCCACTGATTATACTTAGGAAGAAAGTGAGTAACTGCTTAAAAACCAAGCTGAAGACCTAGATTTCAGTGAGCAGTGAAATGGGATATTGCATCTCGCATTCTTAGGAAACGACAGATTTTCTGTTTCTTTTCAGCCTGTTTTGTAAAGATAAGGGATGTCTAGGTTGATTTAGTTCTAAGATTAGTGGGGTTGAAGTTTAGGAATGACTATGGTTCTTGTAAGCAATTTGTGCTAGGCCTGTTTAGAAAACAATGCGAAGTGCAGGCATGTTTTTCAAATATTAGCCATTGTAGCTGCTAATAGCTGCAGTTTTGGAGAAAAAAGGGTCTACTCACATTCCATCAAACTGTAATATCAGAACTGTAAGTGGGTTAAGGCTTTAAATGTACAGTGTTATTAATAAGTGTTATTTTCTTTTTTGTATTAGACCAGGAAATATGATTTCTTCTTTTGCTGACACATCTAAAGCTGTACTTGTTTTTTGTCAATGTGAAAATGTACTCTATACAGTATGATCTTTATGAAAGTGACTTTTAGCAATAACTTTGTGGTGAATTAACTTTCAAAGCATTTTTAAAAGCTTTTGTACTCGAGTTTATGCTTAGAAAGCAACAACTATGTTGTATGCTGATCCACTTAAAGCAGATTGCTAGTGGAAAATATGACTGCCTTCTTGAGACCTTCAGAGTGGGTAAGTAGACTACTGTCAGATGACTGCCTGATCATAAAAGCAGCAAAATCTTTCCGGTGGAACAGTGCATATTTATACCACTTGCTAGTAGATTTGAAACATCTTTTTTAACACAAAGTGATACAATTTTTTTATGTAACTAGCCTGTTTGTAAAAATTCATGTTGGAATGTTTGTTACTCTTTGAAACTCAGCTGCTTTGTCCTTTTCCTTCCTCTCTCCCTGATTATGAAATGTTCAGTTTCAAACACTTCTCAGGTATTAAAAGTTATATTATTATACAGATAGGATTGCTGGCTGGAACCCAGCTAAGGTTTCTGATGCCTAATATGGCCCTACTTTGAGTAAGATTTTTTGATATTTTTTGCTAAATTATTATATAACAATAAGTAAGTTATTTTCTGTATTGCTTGGGAATGTAATAACTGCAGGCATAATGTACTATTCAAAATGACTGGAGCCTTCTTATGCAATATTTTGTTTGATAGCAACCTCTGACTCAAAGGGCTCTAATCAGTCTGCTATTAACTGCTGTTCTGCTCTGCAGAGTCTAACTGCTCACAAAGAAGTAATTTCATAATTTAAAAAATCTCAGTGCATTCAGCTATTAAAGAGGTAAATGAATACAGATACAGGCCAAGAATCATCTGTATTTTTAGTAACTGACCTCTAGCCTTCATGTTCTTGATAGGAGATTCTGTGAACAAAGATCACTATGTGTTATTCAAAGCTTCATTGTAGAACAAGTTGGCATATTCCACTGTAGCAGCAGCTCACCACTTTTAGATGTAGCTACTGCACTTTACATTAAATTAGTATTAACTTCCATGTTCTGAAAATAGCTAAATTTATTTCAAAGAGTAAAAAACATGCAGTTTTTACATCTTCACAGATTCCACCTTCAGGTTAACATTAGTACTCAAAAAGTGTGTGTATGGCATACAGAGGGGTTTGTGCACTGGCTCATACAGATGAATATATATGTGCTGAAGTAGCTGTATCATGTTGCAGCAGTATAATGTGATGTGTATGCACCTGCACCTTTTAAAGCCTCAGAATGCTTTCTTCCCCTACCAGCAGGAAGTGAGTTGGTTCATAGTCTTTAGGTTCAGTTAAAAGTTTATTTAGTGGGATGCAGTTGAGCATATTGTAGATACTGGCATGTGATATCCATCATTCCTTTAATGTTAAACTTCATGTTTTTTAAGACAGGATGGTTAACTTTCCATGGTGGCAAACACTTTCCCAATTCACAGTCATTAAAAACTCAATAAATAGTATGTAAGGAATGGTGTTGGGCTGGGTTTTCTTCCTGTCTCTCTTGAAGTCTGTATGCTAAATGTTTGTGAAAAGCATGTCACACTTTGCAGCATTAATCTGCATTTGGAGTAAATATTGTTTACTTTTTCATACATGATGTTTCTGGAGAAAAATGCAGCTGCTAGTATAATTCCTTGAAATATAGTAAGGATAACTTCTCCCTTACACAGATAACAGCAGTTCTGACTCATGGAGGAGGAGGGAGACTGCATTAGATATAAGGCCATTAATTAGTGAGATAGAGATTACTTTGCTTAGCAAACTGGTTCTTGCAACGGGACCAAATACTTGGAAAACTGCAAGCCCATGAAACAAGGGATGAGTAGCAAGAAATGGCTAAAAATGAATGGCCTGTTGTCATAGTTTGAGATGGCCCCCCCCCCCCGAGAGTCGGGGGCTCAGAGGTGATTGGGTGCCAGGGCAGTGTTCCCTGGAGAGCCAGTCACCATTCGTGTTGTTCGCTTCTGCTGAAAAATCATATATACACAGCCCCGGAAGCTGTTGGCAGTTTTTCTGTTGGTGTCTTCTGTGTGTAGGTGGAGAAGGCCAGGGTGTGGCTGGGCTCCTTCTTTCCCCCCCGCTCCGGGGAGGGGAGGGGAGCCCTGCGGCCCCCCAACTCTGCCTAGGCCAGAGTTAGAGGCAGCATTTGGAGTGTGTGCTGTGAAGGAAGAGATTCACAGCACCTGAGGTAAGAGGGAGGAGGCTAGGCCCTCTTCCCCCTCCCTGCACCTGCGGGACGCTTGGGACAGTGTATAACTGGAGCGAGCTGTCTGTGGCCAAGGCTAGGGGGCTTTTATTCCCCTCCACTGCATTGAGGCTGGTGGGGGGTGGATTTTAAGACTCAGCATTGGAGCAGAGCCAAAGTGGACGGGCTAAATATAGCTTGGAGCCAGGGAAAGGAATCCCAGGCGCAATTGGAGACGACCGAAGAGAGAGGCCCAGAGGATGTCTCTGCCGTGATTTAAATGCAGGACAACCGAAAACCCGGAGGAAGAATCAACCTTCCAGGACGCGTATGTTGATAAGCTACACTACAACAGCCTATGAACCGAGGTATGAGACTGAGAAAGAGAGATCACACAGCAGACCAAGGAGAAAGGACTCAAAGCTACTTTCTTGGACTTAGTGAGGAGAAAGACTTCAGTAAACAGCTGAAGGTTGGTTAGGGAGTGTTCAGGGGCCCAGAACACTCCCACGAGGGAGAAACTGGTTACTTTCCAGCCTGAAAAGGCTTCTGCTGGACTAAAGTTAAAGGGAGGGGCTTAAAAGGACTGATAGAAATGAAATATATATATAGTTGCCTTTAGTTTGTATTGTATTTATTTGTGTAAAATAAATGTATATACTTCCCCTATAGAAGCCTCTGGCCTGGAAGTTTCTCTCCGGTGTTGGGATAAATTGTGGGAAGGGGTGAGGGGAAGCCTGGAAATTGGATTTTGCATTTCTAATGTGGCTCAAACTGCCACACTTGTATTTCCACAAATACAGGAAACTGGGTCAGAGTGAGTACATCTGGGAGAACAAAGTGTGGATCTTCAGTATAAGACTGTGCTCTCAATTTAAAGGAGTGAGATTATGGCTGCATAGTAGCCTTGCAATTTCCCCTCCCCTCCTGTTTCCCTTTTACCATAGTTCCTCTCACTTCATGTAAAAGACAATTTTTGAGACATTCATGGGTCCTCATAAGCAATTACAATTATAATGAAGCTTGAAATAGCTGTTGTGTGAAAGCACAGCTGTAATTCAAGAGTGTTACTCACTCCAAATTAATGTCTGTATCTGTTTAAGAGTCAAAAACAGCTAGTGGCTTAGCTCATATACTATCCTGTCACTCAGTCTGCTCTTATCTGGAGTTTTATTGACATGGTTTCCCATGGAGGCTAGGGACACATCATTAAACCGTGGCGTTTCTCTGGTAATTTCAGAGCTCCAGGCTCATTTTGATGAAATCTGACAGATGGAAGGCCTTGGAGACAATTTCCTACAAGCTGTGCAAAAGGTGGTCAGACAGGGAAGCCAGGCCACTGAAACGAGCTGTTGTTAAAATAACGGAGAACTTACCCAGGAAGGAAATGCAAGCAGTACCCAGTTCTGGATTGTCTTGTGGTTTGTACCAGCTGAAGCATCAGGAGCTACTTACACTTGGAAGAAATTTCACAGGCTTCTGTTCCAGAGATAGAGGAATCACTTGCTGTAACACACACAAATCTGCCTTTTTCTCCAAACTTACAGGGCAGAAACTCCTCCATAAGGATCGTTTAGAAATCTTGTATCACTGCACTCAGGCTGTCAGTTAAAGACAGGGCAAGCTGAGAAAGACTGCAGTTTGAAGGAAGTGACTTCCGGCCACAAATTCACGAACCATAAACACCTGTATGTAAACTCCCAGCATGTAGTGAGGAGGTGAGAGGGTGCTCATTAAGAACAAGTTGTGTCTACCTAATTTAGTTTTCTTGTACAGTAGAGTATTTGCTGACCCTGTGGCTATGGAAGGAAATGTACTGTTAGATTTTTGACACATCATTCTAGCACTGTCTGAGAGAACACTAAAAGTGGTAGAAAATCTGTGTTTGATAAAAGTTCTGTGAATTGGTGTAAAATTGTTTGAACAGCTGCTGCTGAACTGTCCTAGGTGATCCATTATAAAATCAGAAGAGGGTGGCAAGTGGAGTTCAGCAGGGAGTCCTTCCTGGGTCACCTTTTGTTTAGTTGCTTAGCAGTGGCCACATGAAAGTTACTGATAAAATCTGGAAGATTCATGAATACTTTGAGAAAAAAGTCTAAAATCCAAAGGTGGTTTGCTGAATTGTAAAAAAAAAAACAGAACAGAATTGAGTAAGAACAATATATTATACCTATATAGTCATTACTGACAATGCTGAATGCAGAAAAACTAGGAAGAAAGCAGTTCTTCGTAGAACTGAAGGATTGGTGTGGATCAGGAGCCAAATATAACACAATAAGACATCACCTCATTAAAAAGAAAAAAGACATCATCATACTAGAAAAAGAAAAAAAAACCACCAACAAAAAACCCTGTGTGGAGAAACAGCCTTATTCAGCCTTAAAAAACAGTATGAGAGAGATGAACGGGATATAAGTATGTAGAAGGAAGTGTGCGAAGATTCATCGCATTATGAGAAGAAATACAGGAGGCACAGGGGTAGACTCTGGAGGCTCAGTGTCTCTTATCTGTTCATGGAGATATTTAAGGAGCAGTTGGGAGAAGCTGTAGGCATTTGTATAGGCCATGGACATAGCTAATCTGCCTGACAGCTACAGTAAAGCACATGGAGGACAGAGAGGTGATTCTGGACAGTCAGCACAGGTTCACCAAGGGCAAGCCCTGCCTGACCAACCAAGTGGCCTTCTGTGATGGATTGACTACATCAGTGGACAAGGAAAGGGCTACAGATGTCATTTATCTGGGATTCTGAAA